GAAAAAATTAATTAAACTTTTTGTAGCAGAGAAAATATCCCTGATGGGGAACGCCTCTGCGTGTTACCTGAAGAAGCTCCCTGTCGGCAATGGCTCAGATTTCAGTAGCACCGTGATCAAGTTGTTCACCTCCTCAACGGAAAGTAAATGTAGATAAAAACATAATCAAATCCTACTTAAATCATTGAATACAGACGAAAAAAATATAATTGTGAAACCGTAAAAGAAATGGGCTCCAAAAAATGTGACAGATTGTCGTTGCAATCATGAGAAATCATATCAACGCATCCTCCAAGGTATTTGAGGCTACACACACGCTGCTGAGGTGCATTAAACATCGTGTGATGATTGTTCTACAAATGTGTGTTCAGCATTTGTCATGATGTGCTCATAGTTGTACGGAATCGGAGTGCATATCATTGCTTTACCTCTCATGCATACGCCATGGTTCGCAAAAGGCAAAGTTCGTGATTTCTGGACAAACTGAGGCTCTTGCACGAGAAATCCCACTCTTGACGAAACAATTTAACAAGCGAGATGCGCCATCAACAAGGCCAAACATTATATGACGAATTCCGAAAGCTCAGATTTGATAAATGGCGTAATTCGTGATCCGAAAGTGAGATCCTGTTGAGGAGCATGAAAATTGCAAAGCACTGCTGGTCGCTTCGTGAAAATTTATTTCCAAATCTCTAGCATGCTTAATTCTTCCAATATGAATTCTGTGATTTTGTTTGTGGCGGAACGAGACACAGTGCTTCGTCCTTACTGCACTTGCATCCAATACACTTGCAGTCTTCATCCGTAGCGCATGGGCTTCCCATTTCATATATCACGTCTCCGACCTGGGTCCTGAATCTCGGCATTTGAGGTGATATTGTGGATACAACTTTGAGAGTTTTCTAGAAATGCACTCACGCATATTTATAGTGGCATCCTGCCATTATATTGTCACTACACGGCACTACTCCACATCCAATAGACAGAGTTTTTTGCCACACCACCTGAACAACCCATTTCCTTGTAGAAACCATGGTAACCTTTGTTGAAAGCCTTAGAAACTGGGAGATCACCTGACTGTAGCTCGAAACTCCGAGTTGATAACCGTCTTCAGTAAGGACATTGTCTTGTCCTATCAAGTAGCCTCCCCATTGCAATTGATTGAACCAATCAGTAGTGCTCTGCAAAGAATTACTGTCATGCCTGATTACCCTACTGCTCTGTCTCCGTGCCTCACCTGATTCGCTGCCGTGGTCCTGTCAAGGTTTTTAGCGCCCTGCCATATGTTTTCTCCATAACCGGGTCCTCTGTAAGCCTTAGGAGATGACCAAAAGTTACATTGGTTAATCCAGCTCATCACACTCGACTCAAGGGAGCAAGTCGTAGTTCTATAACTAACCGTTATGAATATCCTCGCATTTCAACATGATAAATGCTTAACCATCTTCAGTTCGCTTAACCCTTGTTCGTAACTACAGCTTCTTTGCATTATAGAGTACAAATTTGTTACCAATATTCTGGACGGTTCATAATATATAATTTCGAGCTGGACATACCATCTTCGACATTCTAGAGGCCTTTGGAGCAAACCCGCCCAGCCCATTGCTGGCTTGTCCCTTAGCAACCAGTGATCTAGAATGTATACTTTTGAATGCTCTAATTTACCTTTTTACGAGTTTCGCGATAGAGACTGACCGATATTTATTATGTGTATCTAAGAACATCTGTCGGGCTTCATCCGTCATTCCGTTACTAATAGAGCAGTGTGCTTTGTAGTAATCGGCTGAACATAAGTTTTCAAGGATTTGACTCAGCTAAAATAGTTAGTGGGAAGAATTTAAAAATAAAATGACCTGGAATTGAAGGCGGTCCCTCCAAAACCGATAATGGAGTAGTAGCAGTCGATTTTTCTGTTGGGGCAATACAGAGCGCCTCATCTCTGCTGCAAACGCAACCTTCGCACTGGCAGTCGGCGTCAGTTGTACATGGATCTCCTTTTTCGTAAACTACAGAACCAAGAAGATTTCCACTGAAACACTTGGCAAATGAAATGGGCCTTCTTATTTCGCAGCAATGCACTTACGCGGGATTATACTCGCACGCGGCGAATGTCATGTCAGGGCACCAATACACCGCGCATCCAATCTTGTTACTCCACTGCCAGGCCAACTGAAACAACTTCTATTCTTGTTCATCGAGTATTGTCGTTGCTTCAATCCGCACCTGCGTATAATGGCCGACGCCTCTATCTATCAATGCCATGGAAAATTGCAAGTCGTCAGGTACACCAAACAATTGTAGTTCCAAAAACCAATCCATAACAGCCTGAAATGAGCTGTTACCATGCCTGACTAATTGCATTTGAAGGCTTCCACATTCTCACGTATATTGCAGACGCAGTCTTGTTCATTTGTGTACGCCTATACTCCATATGCTCTGCCCCCAGTAGTTCCTTTCTTGACGTGAGTCGTGCTCAAAAACGCATTTTTTGACATACTGCATCGTGTTTGCTTCAACGTCACAATCATAAGTCTAAAATGATGATTGTTAGACAAGACTGAAAGCCTTACATCCTTTGAGAGCCCATTTGTCATCTATGGCTCTCAAATCCTTATTTTAATTGCAGAAAAATACTGGAAACCATCGCAGTCGTACCATCTTCAGCATCCTTGCCGCCTTTGGAGCGTAACCGCCGAGCTTATTTTTGGCTTGTCCTTTGGCAATTTGTGAGCTAGACAGTTAAAGATAATTCGACTTACTACCCCATGCTAGTGAAGGCTCATCTAAAGAGGACGCACCGATACATATTGTGTTGGTCAACGAAAACCTGTCTTAGTTCATCATTCATTCCATCGGCGTCCGAGCACATGGCTGAAATTGTTCCTTTTAGAAATTTCGACTTATGGCCATATACAGCATAGTTCTTCACATGCCCATCCTGATGTGACGAGGAGCGTCTGAAAGCGTTTATTATATCAAGTGATTCGGTGCTAAAAATCGTATGATTGTAAAGATTAGATGATATTACCTCACCAAGTACGTAATCGCTGGTAAGCAGTAGCATGCTTCACGATGTTTCAGGCATGCCTTCTGACACCACACAGACCTTTTATATGCTTATTAGGGAGGTGGGGGGTGGAGTTATTCAAACAGAATATTCCAGAAAAATATGACAATTGATGATTGCTGTGTCAGCTTTCCTTATCCTGTTTGCTTTCCATTTATTATTTTTACTATTAAACAACTAGAAATTTTGTATTGATTTTTCCGAAGTGAGTTAGACGGAAGCTGTTGAGACTCCCTTAAATGCATCGTCTGGTGCACCCCTAATAGGGATATTATCAATTGGGGTCAGGAGTATCAGATAGTGGATGTCGGTCCCGTCTAGGTGTCGAGGTAGAGAGTACACTGCACCATGTCGACATTGCTGATCTCGAGATGATTCTTCGCACCTGGAGTAGTGGGATGATGCACTGACAAATAATGCTGCTACCATTAGCATATCTCAAGAAACTCGTTACAGGCCGGTCCACGCTCGAGCCAAACGAGCCATTGGTTTCCGGAGCCAATTGTTCAGAGCCAGAAATAGTGGTGTAGCGAAACAACCGTTTATATTTTGACCGAGTGTTCACGGTACTTCAGCAACGAGCACAAGCGAGATGATTTCGCGCCATACAGGTGAAATTAGTGTTCAAATGGTCACAATAGCCGTCTACCCTAAGCCGATTCTAGCTCTTAGATTTTCAACAAGTGCGAAGAGGTTTAGAGCCACATACACAGCGGCTCCCTGCCCGCTGATTCTTCGGGACTGTCTCAGACCAGGAGCATGGCATTCATTTCTGAAGCGCAATTTTCAATTGTAGGCTACTGAATGTATTCGGTATGGAGGTTTCGATAAATGGAGTTGTGAAATGGTATCGGATGAAGCAATGAACATCTTCAGAAACATTGAAAGTGAATACTAACCGGGAAGATTGATTGATTCTGACTTGAATACTCAAGCGTTTTTGGAAGAAGCGTCTAGAGTATCAGCTGTCAAGTTTTCGAGCTTTGACCTTGGGGACATAATCGCAAGGTTTCGGCCAAGTCAAGAGTTGAACCATGACTGAGTTCCGCTCCGGTCAGGGTACAGCTCGAATGTCGTGCTGTTTTCAATCCGGCAGACGATTTCACAAAAGAGCGTGATCTAGCTTCCAAGGCGTAGACGTTGATGTAATAGTTCAAAACTGCATCTCTATCGATTTTGTTCCAAAAATAAAATGTGGTAATCGAATCTTGGAACTACTTAATTATTTTAATACTTCATATGTGTTTGAAGATTACTGCGCTGTTTTTTTCTTCGATGTTGTGGAGTTTCCGAACATTCGAAGCACTGCTTTCAGAGGAAAAGCATATTTTGTGGAATTTTCAATTTTTTTTGTGAAATAGTGATATGCACCGCGGTTCTCACTTTATTGTGCATCTGCTCTGTCAGTTTTGTCCTCCACTGGCTACGCTAGGTCAAGAACGACGACGTTCTCAAACTTATGACAGTCACTGCACTTCCAGTGAGGAGCTATAAGCATTGTTTAAAATGTCTCGTTGTCAATTGTTTACAAAACCTTTTATTTGCCGGCCTTTATTTTGAAAAATTTCCAAAACTGTAAAAGCACACACTCTGGCAAAGTGGGAGGACAATGGCGGCTAAATCAACTCCATTCCCTGTTTGCTTCCATTCACTGTTGATTGCGAATTCATTATGTTCCGGAATTAGGGTAAGCTAAAACTAGGTTGCTGTGAAATATGCTTCATGCTAATAGTTTAGTATAATAGGTGGTCCGGGAAGGGAATGGTCTCTGGGAGAGTAGCCGTTTGAGAGCGCAATATTCTTAGCCTCCTAGAGATACAGGGTCTATGGGACTAATCTTGAAGTTTGAAATGGTTGGTGTTTGGGGGTGAATCGCATTTATCTTTGGCTTTCCAGGCTCCGACGAAGGCGATACGGCCGAAACGTTAGCCGAGTAAAACGTTCATAATATCTTGGTTGCGGCTAAAGAAACCTCGCGGAAATTAAAGCTGTATCACTAAACGCGTGTCTTGAGGCGGAGTTTACTATGAATGTTCAGCTCTTTAAAAAGGTGGAGGTGGTTAGTTATGCACAGATAAAGAAAGAATTAGAATGCACGATAGAGTCCTAAGCCTTTATTTGCCTGTGTAAGGAGTTAGCGAGCATCCCATCGCAGGTTGAGAGCTATTATTTAATTAATATTTGCCATGACTGAAAACGACGCTCATAGCCCACTGATAAGGTGTTTTTGCGGTAAACGAGTATGATATTCGTGTTCAGGAGACCGAATTTCCCCTGGTTACAAGTTTCCAGCTGAATCTGAGATTTTGACCTACACTCGAGAAAGGGCAGTCAACATACAGTCAAACGAGAGAAGGTATGAATCGAAAACTAACTGGAAAAGCACCTTCCCTGAATTTTGATGCAGAGTCATGTAAATCATTTCCATTATGCGGGAATGTGAGCCGTTGAACGTTTCTCTTTTCAAAATCTTGGTTGGAAGGGCAATTTCCATGCCAAGAGTTCAACGATAGGTTGATGATATGATGGTTGACTCACCTCATTTTTTAGGGTTGGGTCAAAATCTCAGATTCGGTAGGAAACTTATCTCCAAGGGTAGTTTGATCTCCTGAACACGAATATCATACTCGTTTGCCGCAAAAACACCTTAC